TATGGTGTTTTGGAGATGGCACACACATGGCACTTTGTTACAGCATTTTCCACATCTTTGACTCTGTAAGGTCACCAACATTTCTCTCTTGTTAAGTGAAGTGTTCTGTTGTTTTCTGGATGACCAGAACCTGGGGAAGCATGGTTATATTGGATTAATCCTTCAAAAAATCTGGGAGGGGAAAAATTCCCTTCAGGGAAGTACGAAGGATTTTCTTTGGGCAAGGTGTTGCTATTGATGATTTCCCATTTATTCCTTTGGTTGGGTGCCGTTACAATGGATACAGGTAGAATGTTTTAGCATTTGGAAGAGTCTTCTTTAGGGGAATGTTTTCTTGAGAGTGCGTTGGCCGCCGTAACTGAGAAAAAAATCTGCAACTTTAAAGTCCCGAGTAACACATGACTTTTTGGATACTCTGATGCAGCTGTAATGTACAGAGATTTCCTTTTATGTAATGGGTTTTAGAAAAACTATAGATTGCATATATGTTTTTTAGTTTTTTTTTTGTAGTAGTTTTTTCTGATATCAAAGTGTTCTTGTGACTTTTAAATAAAAATCAGTTTGCTGTCCTATCATCATTGATAAAAGCCGCGAAACAGACTAAAAGAAGTTGAAAGTTATGAGTTACCCTGCAGGCAAGTTTAGAATTAGAATTCACATTAATCAGGTCAGAATATAATAATGATTTTAAATATATCTGATTTGTTTTAATGGAAATTAGGGAAACATTATGGAAACAAATGCTAGTTTACAGTGAGATAGTACAACCAAAACAACTTTAACAAACTTTTTTTCACTTTAAAATTGCTGCAATTTTAGCATTTGAAGTGTTGTGAAATGCAAAAGTCCTTGTTATAAAAGAACAATAAAAGGATCTGAAGCATTGAAAATTCTAAAACCTTTTTCAGTCAATGCTAAGATATGTTAACAGTGTTATAAACAGACTGAAAATTGGTCATAGAGCAAGACATTATGAACTATTGTTTTCTTTAAAATGATTTAAATTTTTAACACAGGTCTTGAATAAAAGTTGGCAGTTATTAAGAGCATGAAGTAGCGACCCAGTTTTAGTCATACCCACACCTGCAGAGTTCAGCTGTGTGTATGGCCTGCTGCTCTCAGACACAAAAGACTGAATTTCGGGTGATCCAGCACCATCTATTTTGAGCCAGTACGTTATTTCTCCTGTTATATTATATCCTCCTTTTCGATTAGATTTTTTACTCTTCTTTAAAGTCACTATGAAATCAACAGACATTGACAGATGTTCTCCATACACTGAAAGGTAAAACAAATTTGCTGTGATTGTAATTGTAACAAAGACATTTTAAAGTGCATCCTTTATGTTTTGCTGTTAATGAATAATACACATTCTAACATTGGCAGCAAGTATGTTATCTCGTCTTCTCTATCCTCCATAGGTTAAGCGATTTACTGAAATGAAACTGAATTGTTCTGAAACTAAAACTAAAGAATAATAATGTGACTGTACGATGAAGCAGAATACAGAATAATTTTCACTAATGCATAAATTCAATTCACCAATGGTTTAACCCGATTATAAGGCTCATGGGTTCCTTTGATTCCTATTTTCAGCTCTCTTACGATGAGCTTACTCACTTACTCCCTGAATTGTTAACTCTTCATAACAAGGCCACATTCACTGACCATTCACTGCTTTTAGAATTTAAAGAGCTACTTTTTGAATAATTCCAATCATTGCGCTGTAAGGTGTACTTACTGCTGTATTATATATACTATATATTACATTTTCATTGTACTTTGTTTTTTTTTTCTTTTCATAGAGCTTTTTCGTTTTTTTTACTTTATTAACAAATCAGTGCTGGTCTATTTGGAGAACAGAAGCCCCATCAGAAATAAGGAAGAACAAGCTCTTGATGTGATTATCAGTCCTGTCAGTCTCAGCCAAGACTCTTTGACAGCTGCTTCTCTAAAGGCTTTTTCTTCCATATGCTGACAGGCCATCAGAAAGACCTTTTCCTTGTGTAGCCACCCACTTTCAAACTGAAATTGTGAAGTGATGTGAGAGACAAGGAGAGGTACTTTTATTCAAAGTATATGTCAAATTCCTTTCAGGTCATATTAGTGTCATAGGACTGAAACTTGCAATGTGTTTAAAAGCAACCACTCTTCAATTTTGAAGGAAATTTCTGAACTGAGGATTTCTGTGATTGGATTTAATTGTGTTTTGTGGTGGATTTTGTATAGTTTCCTGCTGCTCTGGTTTTAATCTTCATCACAGCAGGACCTTTGCTGAAACCAAAAGGGATTAATGCTCAATGACCGAATGCAGAAGCAGTCCATAACACTTTTTATCATTTAATGGCAAGAACACCAGTCAAGTGGCAGCAGATTGCAAGTCTCTTCTAACTAATGCATGTCATTAAAATTGTTTTCTCAGAGCATCTTCGAGGCCACCTCTGAGTGCCTGTTTGTGGAGGATCAGTATGATTTATGGAAGGGTGTAATAACTTATTTAGTTTTCGTCACTCTTGTGAATTGCTGACTGTTACTTCATTTGATTAACAGTTGCAGGTTTATAATCAAGTTGCAGAGTGTGTAGAAATCACAAATGAGTTCTTGTTCACTGCCATTAATTATAAAACCTTATTCATTTACACTAGTAATTAGTGCAGACGTGCAACATGATGTAGAGAAAATGTCGAGCAGACTTACCAGTCTATTGAAAATACCATCAGGGAATAAAGCAGCATGCTTCCCAGAACAATACGTCTGACTTCCACAGCATAACCACACCAAAGTGAGTGAGTGCTCGCACTTTCAATGTGGTGTCAATTGGTAATTGCAAATCAACGCAGTTTTGCGATGGGGTTACAGTCCTACTTCAGTGAAGGTATGTGTTTGGCTGTTATTAGGCATTTATCTTTGATACCAAAAGCCAAACCACACCACAACCTATTCTGTCCAGCAGTACATGCCAATTTTATTGTATTTTTTTTTTTTTAATGATCTCTGGCAGATGGACTTGAAACTATCGAAGCTCATGTCTCTTTAAACAGGCTACAACTTTACCATTTTGAGGTTGAACCTAAACTCTGCAGGGCCACAATGTATAATCATCTTTGGTGCTTTTTAAGTAACAAAGTAGTACTTTTAGTTAAAATTTGTCAACATGTTTTAAGTCAAACATTGTGTTAGTGGGCTATCAGTGGCTAATTATTTGTATTAAGGGTGCCATGGACAGGTTTTCTTTGTATTTCTTTTTAATTTTACATCAGAGCAGTTTGGATAAATTACAAATATTATCTGTAGGCCATGTTATCTGTGGGCCGTCCTTTGTTGGAGTCTTGAACGCATGACCATGAAGGGTTATAGAAGAAATACAGAAGAGTCAGAGACGAGGTTTGCCAGGGATTCAGGACATTATGGAGGCACCCTAAATATTCGCTAAATATATTTCAGGGCTCTAGAGTGCGACCAATTTGGTCGCATATGCGACCTAATTTCTCAATGGTGCGACTAAAAAAAATCAAAGGTTGCACCGGTGCGACCCGTCGTTCGAGGGGAAAAAACGAAACTCCGTGAGTCTCCTTGTTGTTCAACAACAGACACACATCGTGGTCTAAACCAATCAGAGATAGTGAAGAGCGTATCCCGTCCCACCCACCCCCCTGATTGGCCGTGGTCCAGATATTCCTGTATGTGTGTGAACGTCTGTTTGAAAATGCATGTGATGCAGTCAGACAGAGAGAGGTGAGTCCATCAGGTAAACAGTGAATGTAGCCATGGATTACGAGAGAAGATTAAAAGAACGATTGACAGATTTTTCATTAAGAAAGATAGGTTAGGGCCTGATCGTGAAAATTATAACCAATGCTCTGACACGGAGCCATCAACCTCCCCTGTGACTGGCTCTAATACATTTAGAATTGAAACTATAAACTTCAGAATTTTCTATAAAACACATAACATGCCGCGATAAATGCACCGCTCAAGTGTCCCCTCTCCCCGCTGCCTTACAGCGGCAGGCAGCAGCAAACAGATCATCAGACGAGGCCGAGATGAGAATTAAGTTTTACGTTGCCTACAATATTGCAAAAGAAGAACTCCCCTTCACTAAATTCAAGTCCGAAATAATTCTTATGAAGAAAAATGGCTTGAACGTTAACCCGACGTACAGCAATGATGTCGCGCGCACCCAATTTATAGGAGTCATCGCAGATACATTGAAAAAAAAAAAGCGTCTGTGCAAATTGTGAACAGTGCGTACATGGAATTCCTGATCGACGGAGACACATATATCGCCACAAAGGAATTCGTCATTGTGTACAGTCGTATCTTGTGGAAAGGAAGACCGATGAATATATTATTGAACACAGTGAGGTCGAGCATGCTCATGCCCAAGGTAAGCCATGTCATGTTATGGAGCCTATGTCAATAATATGCCTACCGTCTCGTTACTGCATTAACCATAATATTCTGATACTTAAAAATGAAAAAATAAATAAATAGGCTGCATTATAAACTCTTGATCTGGGTAGTAAATGGTATTATCGTTTTTATTTGTTTTAAAATCAGTTTAAAGTTTAAATTTCAGCTCAGTAAAGCACTTTAAACACTTTTTCAGTAAGTTTTAGTTACCTTTCTTGTAGAATTGTGCTTCAAATAAAGAACTTTATTTTGACCAGGTTGTTAGTTAATCATTTACAAGTCAATATTGTCTATATGGACAGTGATTTAAAAAAATAAATAAATAGATAACTAAAAAAAGTGAACTTGTGAAAATGGGGTGTTAAATGTGATGCGGTTGAAAATTTGGGTGCACCTAACTTTGTGCTGGTGCACCTAAGAAAAAAATTTAGGCGCACCAGTGCAACCAGTGCAAAAAGTTAGTCTAGAGCCCTGTATTTACTTTACTTTTTAGTTTTGGTTAATAGCGTTTTAACAAAGTTACTGTATCAAATACACATTTAAATTCAACCCTAAGGTCTGATGGCTGTTTTTTAGAACATTTAAATGCCTTCCTGTGGCTTAGTTGGTAGAGCACTGCGCTTACAATGCAAAGGTCTTGGGTTTGAATCCCAGGGAAAGCAAGAACTGACAAAAAATGTGTTCATTCATTAAAAAATTAAGTTGCTTTGGATAAAAGCATCTGCCAAATGCCTAACTGTAAATTGTAAATGCAACCAAAGTAGTGTACAGAGTTTCTCCATTGGTACCATTTATTCTTTGTTCATGCTTTATTCCTTTGTTGCCTTCTTTGTCCTTCTTGCTGGTATTTGCTGATCTTGTTGCATTTGGTGTCAGCTACCAAAATACTGATTCATTTATTTTCTAACCCGCTTATTCCCTTTCGGGGTCACGGGGGTCTGCCGGTGCTTATCTCCAGCGCACAATGGGTGAGATGCGGGGATACATCCTGGACAGGTCGCCAGTCCATCGCAGGCCTACATACTCATCAGTACTAATTGAGCATAGAAAGTGCTCTTACCTAGACCCTTCTCTCCCATGATTTGTTTCTTTGAAAGACTTTTTACTAACTGTTTTTAACCGAAAGAACTGGTTTATCTTGTCATATTTTAAATTATTTCAAAGTATTGCAACAACAAGTGAGGCCTCAGTTTGATGGATCCATCTTTAAGAAATTATTAACTGATTTAAATGAAAGCTAATGTTTATTCAGTGTTTGCATCATGAATACAGCAGGGGTCTCAAGCCCAGCATTGTCATTCTGAAGGCTGCTGTGCTGTGATTTAGTCTCAGGAGTGAGCAAGTGGAGCTGGCAGAGCTGGTAAATGGCCATTTTGTGTGTGTTAACCTCAGGGGACCAGCATGAAGAGATGCAAAGTTTGCGGCAGATGTTGGGGGAAAAGCAAGATAACTTGGATGCATTCCTAAAGAAAGCCAAGGCTTTTCTGTAGCAAGAGCTACTTATTCACACCACCCAGACCGACTGTGATCATGTGAGCGTATAGCTGAAGAAAATGTATAATTTCTTTATCGAAAATCCGAGATGGAACTTCTGAAATGCTTTTTTTTAACTTTAGCATGCGGCTTGAATGGAACTGAGAGAATGCTCTTACATTTTTCTTGTTTACAATCGTCATAAGGGCACACTCGAGGAGATAACCTCCATTATTGCTTTTCTTTTACAATCTTGTCAGATCATTAATACTAAATATTACATCTGAGGTGAAACTGTGATCTGTATCTTGCTATAAATCCAGAGCACACTAGAGCGTCTATCTTTGTGATGGTGTTTATAGCGCTATACATTTTCAGCCACAAACAACCTGATGCAAGGTTAGTGCTTCTGTGGGAATCTTCGAAGAGAAACAACAGACTTGTTGTCTTATCCCTGGTCTGTCCACAAACAATGGGAAGATGCTTTAGCCCTTTCTGATTTAGCTTTTTTCTTAATTATTTTATTTAATGATCATAATAATGATAATAATGGAAATCGGCTACATTTAGACTGCATACTGAAGGGAGGCAATTCAGATTTTTTATTTTGTCAGACACAGGCCCCTTTCTAGAGCTGTGTGTGAAGATGTTGAGTCACTGTTAAAACTGCTGCTGCCGGTCGCTGTATATCTTAATAAATGGCAAATGTGAGGTGTGGAAGGTGAGCCTCGCACATTCTATGGAAGCTCACAGCCCTACCATTTTCAAATGTGGTCTTTTTTTTCTGTGTCGGAACTAGCGATGCCACAATAGTCAGTTTCTCATTTGAATAACTTCTGTATGTATAACTTTTAGTTAACGCATGTGAAGAGGCAGATGTCGGGGAACAAAAAACAAAAAACCCATCTCTGTGAGCAAATATCCAATCAATCCTTTGTGTAAATAAGTTAGAGGAGGGTAGAACTTCTCGTGTTTCACTCAGCCAGTAGTGCAATTGTCAGCCACTATGAGGAGATGGCGTCAACTTTTTTAAACCTATGGAAGACTTTCCACTCAGATTCCTTTGATTTAGCTGCGAATCAGATTATATTTTCTAATAAATATTTTCATAAAACAATGAAATGAATTCACATCAATAAGGTGAACAATTTCTTTTTTGGAACTTGGCTACATCTTTGTAGAGCAACACATCCATCCATTCATTCATTTTCCAACCGGCTTATTCCCTTTCAGGGTCACGGGTAGAACACAATTTTAGGGAAATGGGTGTGTTTAAAATACTTTTCAAAATACAGATATTGCATATGTTTGAATGTTTTTTAATTAACCAGACAGTCTTGTTTTGTTATTTTTAGATTCTTACAAAGAAAATGTACTAAAAAAATTGTCTTTATTATACTGATGCATCATTCGGTTTTCTCAAGAGTTGTTGGATTACTTTCAGATTCAAAGTTTGGATAATGCATTCCCTACTTGGTTGTAAGCAGAGATGGGGAGTGTAGATGCGGTCTGATGCTTTAAAAACATCTTAGGTAATGAAGAAGTAGTGATTTCAGTCTCTGACTTAAAGAAAAAGAAAAATTCTTCTTGTTTCCAGCAGGACAGTAAAACAGCAACAGTGTATGTTCAAAGACCTTTATCAATAGACACTCCACTGTGAATTGAATATCAATGCTCAAAAGGTCTACTTAAGGACAGTATTTGTAATTTGTTATAAGCAAAGTTGTATTGTATTTTATTTCTGTTCATAAGTTTATTGAATTGCTTCATTTCTTCAACCCACATGTGATGTTGGGGTCTGATGAGCTCAAATGATCTTTCTTCATTTACATGTGACCTTTTCTTAAATTTGCTTGATTGTTAATAATCTCTTTTTCTATAGCTCTCCTTGACTGTTTTCATTTTTCAAGTTTTAGATGTTTCTGTCTAATTAAGCATCAAGTCATTTTATTCTGTCTTAGCGCTTAAGTAGAAGACCCTTCTAATAATTGCGTGTCTCCATTATTTATGTATGCATGTGAAACCTAATTTAGTATGCTCCAGTTTTTTCTTTAGGCTTCTCACAGCTTTTTAAAACATCTGCAGATCTGGATTCTATAAATAATTAAATTTCAAGTGTACATGGCTGCGGGTAAAGAAGGCAATATAGTATAAACAAATATTTGCCCAAAGATATAAAGTCTCATTTTACTGGCTGGATATGAGATTTTAAAATGCTGAAAACGGAAACTATTTCTATATGTTTAGACTGAGTAAATTTGGAACTTGTGTGTGGCTTTTCTCTGATAGTCACCCGAGGAGCAGATAAATAAAATGGGCAATTACAGACTGATTCAAGGACAGACGCTGTTCTATTCTTAGACACCGGAGCTCACTTCCATTAATTTCACAGGGGCTAACAGTCAACTCTTCAACTGCCACTTGAAGCTTGATTTATTGATTTTTAGGTTCCCACAAAGCTACTTTCTGTTTAGGATCAATGGAAATGTAATTTGAGAGAAGTTTCTTCTTCACTAATGAAAAAAATTAAAAAACTTGCTTAAAATACTTGAATTTCTACTTGAATCATCTGGCTTTAACTGCATCATATAAACTACTAGAGCACCCCATTTTTTAAAGGAGTCTAGTAGAATTAATGAGCTGAGTTTTACTGGTTTGTGCAAAATGTAGGCAGATGTGAAAAAATACTGTAATTTAAGAATGCTTTCAGAAAAAATGGTACAATTTACTAAATGCAAAGTGAGTGAAAAAAAGAGAAATCTAAATTAAATAAATACTTAGTGTTGCCCTCAAACCAGCATCAGTAAACTTGATGAAGCCCTGACTTCATCATCGTTGCATTTTTCTGGGATTAAATGAGGCATACATGATGCACACAAATAATAGGGTTGAATAGAAATGTTTCTGGTCTAATAAGATTCGATGATCTGTGCTAAACATGTGCTAATTGGCTGAATACCTGCAGACATGGTAGAACATAAATTAATAACTCTGTTGGAGTTGGAAAATATCTGTAAACATAGCGGAGAGTGTCTTTTAAAGATGCAGCATATTACAATTAATTTTGAACGTCATGGGGTTTTCAGTCACTTCCTATTATTCACAGTGTGGCAGCTTGTTTAATGACTGGATGTTTTGACGTTTGTGACCAGTGGTTTCTGTTTTTTCTACAGTGACCTTCCTCACTGCAAGTGGAGATGACATTCAGATTCCTGCAAAGGTGAGGTTCAAACATGTTTACATTTGCGTTTAAAGGGATTTATTTTCCAATAATGGATTTAATTATATTCTGTTTGTTTCTTTCACATGTTTATGTTCTAGGACTCATATTGTTATATTTAAATATCTACTAGAAGGAAATTATCCTTTACTCTATGGCTGAGCTAAAAAACTGAATATTTTTAACCTGAGGTAAAATTAAAATATTTCTGATGACATGGTCTTTTTTCAAGGTATATGATCAGGTCTTTCTGCCATCCCATAACCTTTGCTTAATATAATCAGGAAAATAAACTGGCCAGGAACTTGGAGGGTGAGGAGTATACTTATGCAAACCTGTGGCATGTCACATAAACAGGTTCTCAAGGATAGTAGAGCGCCAATGAGATCCAAAAACTAAACATGGAGTACATAAAGGGGCATAAAGGGATTCTTGATCCATAGTGAATCCTAGCAACCTTATCCACCTTCAGTGGAGTGGAAACATTTTGAGCTTTTGAAAATAGATCTAGCCCAGAATTTCCAGATCAGCAAAATATGCCAGGGATATGTGAGATAAATATGTGAGATTTTGTAAAATATGCAAATTATACCCCTAAAACATTTTCTTCAGTTGATTGGAGGGAAGCTAATGTTAGCATGCGCTTTACATCTATAAAGCAACAGTCCATCCTCTTTAATAGGGGCTATCAATTGACTTGACTTTCCCGACTACACCCCCTTCACTGAGAATTGCAAGAAAATTGATCAAATTCCTGCATTACCACAATTGTTAAAATAAACATTTGATGAGTACATCCTTAAGTTAAAAAGACTTGGACTCTACTTAAAAGCGTATAGTCTTGAGGCCTGCTCATAGTTTATCTGGGACATTACAATGTTGATGACATCCTGACAAAAGGATGTCACTCTTTCAGGGTCCCAGGTTTGTGCAGGTTACTGGCTTGTATTATTAGCGTCAAAAAGGTTT